CTGTCAACCACCATCCTATGGGAAGTACCATCTCAGAGCAGAGCACTGCTCACTGCAGAAGCCGGTTTGCTGCATTGAATGCCACAACCAGATGAGGCCATCTGGGCAGCTAGCAAGGGCTCTACCAGGCTTCTTGTCCCAGGAGGGCCCTGGCCAGCAGCTGGCTGGATACAGCAAGTTTGTCCCTCTGGATTCATATACCGGATGCCAGTTGAAGTTCAACTCATTGATGTTCTGAGGGCAGCATGGATGTCTCCCCAGCTGTCTCTGGGTAAGGGCCTCACGGGACACCTCTGTCTTGGAAGCCAGGAAAGCAGAGGTCCACAGGCAGGCAGATGCATGTAGCCCTGTGCCTTCACCTTGTGTCTCCTGCAAGGCTTATGATATCAGTGCGTGTGTGAGTGGCACACGGTATGACAGGGTTGGTGGCCTGCAGGCCAGGACACCAGAGATGTACATTTTTGGTTCCACAGGCTTCCTTCCTGGCTCAGGTGTCTCTGTAAGCCAGAAACCCACTGTGAGCCCCAGAGTCCTGGCTGTGCTGCCTAGACAAGCCAGAAATCAAGCAAAATCACATGTGGAAATACTTGTTAGTCGTCACATACGTGGGCAAGATTATCATCAGCATAGCCCGGCCCATCAGAGAAGTTGTATGTGACTTCAAATAATCCATTCAGTGTGCAGTGTGCAAATGTAGGTCAAATCATAGCCTCGGAAGTTCTGAGAGAGGCTCTCGGGAACCACCTGATCTGGCAGGCCTCCCAGCGCCATGTGAACGACACGAATGTGAAGTGACAGTTATGTTCAGGCCTAGAAGGTGAGGCCTGCTCACTCTCTTTCCTGCTGCTGGGGTCACAAGGATTCCAGTAGCACTGGAGCCTCCTGTACCACATGATCTGTTCGTGTGCCTGGTCTGGGCTGGTTTACTGAGCACCTGCAATGTAAGTCACTCAGCAGGTGTCTTCCACTGCCTGCCTGGTAGCCATGCACTGCTCCAAGCACTGTGGACACCAATGTGACTAAGACCCAGCAGCTCCCCTAGAGGAGGCTTTGTGGCCCTGGCAGCAGGACAGGGAGTGGTGCTGCTGGGAGGGTTGGTCAGCTTAGTCTGGGTAAGGGGTGAGAGAATGGGTCACCAGTGAGAGGGAACCCATTAAGTGAAGTGGGGAAAGAGAGTTGAGGTTTGCTGGGAAGCCTATGGGGCAGGTGGAACAGGCACAAAAGCCATCAGTCAAGATGCTCAGGGGGGAAGCAGCTGTGTGGGCAGCAACCTGCTCTGCTCTGCTGGATGACCAGGGTGGAGAAGAGACCCAGGCAAGCCAGCCAGATCCTGGACTCCTTCCCACGCCCAGCCCAAGGAGCTGAGCTTAGGCTCCACGGAATGACATCATCACCTCTGCATTTGGGAAGGGGGCAGGGAGCCCCAGCATTCTGTGTCACCAGATGCTAGCGTCCGTCTGTGCTGTGAGCGACAGCTGCACATGTAGGGCTGAGAGCTGGCGTCCGCTAGGAGAGGGGTGCTTCCATGACTTGTCATCAGGATGCATGGAGCCAGCAGCAGGTTCACAGTCCTGGAAGGACTGTCAACTTTCAGTATATTCGTGTGACATTAAAAGGACAGCAGGGGTTACAGAGTCCAGTCTCCACCCAGCTCCTTGAAGCCCTGCTCGGTGGAGTCTCGGCCCCCTCCTTTGCCCCCCTCCACTGCCCCCAAAAAGAGTGACTCATTCCCACTCCATCCTTGACACATGAGGGAACCAACCTGGATTCTCATCAGCTCCCACTGAATGGGGTGCTATTTGCCAGCTGCTCCCCATCTCCAGGGCTCCCCGTCTCCTCTTTCAGAGTATTAGCAATGCCTCTTAATTCAGCACTACTTGTGGATTTGATAAGCATATTTTACATTCCTCCACTCAGCTCATCAGCAAAGAGACTGAATAAAACAGGCCCGTGACAGATGTGAGAATGAACCACTTGATATGCCTCTGTAGAGGGGAAGGTCCCGGAACTATCTGCTCCCCTTTTTTGTGGGTCAGCCCCCTACATTAAGGCGGGAAACTCGGGCAGCCCTCCTGGAGCCCCACATCCTGCAAATTCCTTCCTCAGGGCCGAGTGGGAATGCCCTGGGCCAGGCCTTGCCCACTCTCCCAATCTGGGTGTGGAGACTTGGTCTGCCCCAGCACCACCCAGGCCTGACTGCACCGTGCCTTCCCCCCTGCACAGTCCCTGGCCCACCCTTTCCTCCAGGGCTGGGTTGCAGCAGGGGAAAGTATGCAGGCACAGGAGGCGGGGTGGGATGAGGGGGTGAGTTAGGAGTGGTGCCTGTTGGAGCCCCCACAGGTTTCTGTCCACAGGAGAGGAGCCTTGGCTGTTCTTGCTGACCAGAGGCTTCCACGTCGCCAATTCTTTCAGAATAAAAGTCCTGGAACCTGGTCAAAGCTCAGGATGCCAGGATGGTGGGAATCTCTTTAAAATATCCCTGGCTGGGGATTCAGCCAGCTCCAGAACAGGCAAGGGGATGGATCATGGGTCCGTCAACTCATCAGAACTTGGAGCAGGCAGTGTTATTCCTGCATCCTCCCATTCTGTGCAGGAGAAAGCTGAGGCTCCGAACAGCTAGCCGTGGTGCCCAGGAATAGGCAAGCTGGACTTCACCCTGCCCCCAGCATGGTGGCATCTGGGCCCCCAGGCTCCAACTTGTGTGGACCCTGTGGAAGCTGTCATGGGCATTCAGCTGCACTGGGGAATATTTCCTGCCTTGGGGTAGTGGGGGATGTGGGCCAACCTTTCTTACTTGGGGCTGCTGTGGCATCTCCAAGGATAGCTCAGAGGCAGTAGGCCTGGTCTCCCCAGGACCAGTGCCCATAACACAGTCTGGGCTGGGGTTTCCACAACGCCCACCACTGACTGCCTTCCCCATGTCCCCTCCCACCCCCTGCCCCACCTGCTCTGTGGGGCTTTCCTGAAAAGGGCCCCTCAAGGGTCTCTGGTTTGGGGGTCCCCCAGCCCTGTCTCCTCTTTCAGACCCTTTCTGAGCTGGGCTTTTTAAAAGAGTCCCCCTACAGCACCTTGGTCCCAGTAACCGAGTGACACATGGCAGGGGCCCTGTGTCCTTGGTTTCTTGCGGGGTACAGTTCTCGCTGTGCACTGCCGCTGTATCCTTCACTCACCTCTGGCTGGTTGCACTCAGATTTCCAGCTCAACCCATGGCACCACCACTTGGTGCTGCGACCCTGAAGGGACATTCACCTTCCACGAACCCTCCTTCAGAAGCATTTGAGGGCTGGAGCTGGGCTGGGCTGGCTGGCAGATGGGCCATCACACTGTGGGCCTCATGGTGCAGCCCCAGGGATGCTGTGTCCGTGGTCAGATCCCGAAAGTCGGTCGCAGTTGGTTTCCATTCACATGTCCCCCCCCCCCACCGACACCTGAAAACGCATGTGGCAAACCACATGCTATTTTGAAATCGCAGAAAATGAAAGTCGAGTAGGACGTGGAGAGCCAACATGGTTAAATGGCCGGGGAGTTATCCCCGTCCCCTCCTTCCTCGCTGGTGCCAGCAGTGCTGGGAGCTGATGCCCCGCTTAACGCCCACCTCCTCTCCACCAAGGGCATCAAGTCCACCCTTGGTACCCAATCCCATCACACGCTGTGCAAAGCAGAGCCATCTGCTGTCCCTGTGTTAGGCCAGGGTCCGCCGCCATCTCCTGCCCCAGCGCCATTGCTGTTGTGGCTTAGTCATGCTGGAGCCAGTCTGAGTCAAAAGGGACTTGTGGGTGGTTTGTGGCCAGGCTGGAACAGTGAGGCAGGACTTTCTAGGTGTAGCCTCCGTGGCCCCGGGAGACCAACACTGGTCCCTACACAGAGGCTGAAGAGGGGCGGCCAGCCAGCCAAACTTCTGGCCCAGACCTGGGTGAAGGCGAGGGGATATGTCATGCATGGTCCTGAGCCAGCCCCATAGTATGCCAGGGTTGCATGGCTTGGGCTCCAGGCAGGGATGTTCTGCTGGTTGCAAAAATCTTGGCTGTTTCCTCTGCCATCCCGGATCAGGCATTGCTGAATGTAACACTTCTTTTTGATAAAGATGGTTCATTCAGGAGTTCACTAATGTGATTTTTGTGCTTGTGCAAGATTTTTTTAATCCTTCTAGATCAACTACTAGCTTAAAAGTGAGTCTTTTAAAAAAAGATTTATTTATTTTTATTGCAAAGTCGGATATATAGAGAGAGGAGGAGAGACAGAGAGGAAGATCTTCCGTCTGATGATTCACTCCCCAAGTGACCACAACGACTGGTGTTGTGCCAGTCTGAAGCCAGGAGCCAGGAGCCAGGAACTTCCTCTGGATCTCTCACGTGGGTGCAGGGTCCCAAGACTTTGGGCCGTCCTCAACTGCTTTCCCAGGCCACAGTAGGGAGCTAGATGGGAAGAGGGGGTGCTGGGATTAGAACTGGTTTCCATATGGGATCCTGGCACATGCAAGGTGAGGACTTTAGCCACTAGGCTACTGTGCCAGACCCATGATTTATTTATTTTAAGAGGCAGAGTTACAGAGAGAAAGCCTCCATCCACTGGTTCACTCCCCAGATGACTGCAGTGGCCAAGGCTGAACCAGGCCAAAGCCAGGAACCAAAAATGTCTTCCAGATCTTTCATGTGGCTACAAGGGCCTAGTATTAGGCCATTCTCTGCTGCTTCCCCAGGCACTTCAGCAGGGAGCTAGAACATAAGTGGAGCATCAAGGTCTCCAACCAGTGCTCATATGGGGTGCCGGTGTCGCATATGATGGCTTAATTTGCTGTACCACAGCACCAGCTCCCCGAAGATGTATTTCAGAGGGACCTCATGGGGTAACACAGGCTCACCATGCAGGAAAGAAGGTCATCACCCTGCATTGGTGGGGTTGGCACACACAGCATACCCTGGGAGCCCAGCTGTCGGGCTGTGGGTTGACTCACCAGCAGGCTCAGCCTCTAACCTCACCTGCTGTGTCCATGTCCACAGGAAGAAGAGCAGGAGGAGCCTCGCGGCAAGGAGGAGCGGCAGGAACCCAGCACCACGGCCCGGAAGGTGGGCAGGCCAGGGAGGAAGCGCAAGCACCCGCCGGTGAGTGAGCTGCCCCGCCCCCTTGTGTACACTGTGCGCGGCAGTGATGTGTCACCTGCAGAGATTCGAGGGACACTGTGACCAGGTGATGTGGCAAGTAGAGCTCACTCAAATTCCTCGTTCTTTGAGCATCATGACGACCTGCACTTCCCTTCTTTTTCACATCAAAAGCCAGAGGTCTCAAGAGTATAGATGTCTGAGCCAGGGAGGGCTGGAGCCGGGATTCCACTGAGGTCTCCAACCTGTGGCCTCACTGTGGAGGTGCGGCAGAGAGCTTGGATTCACCGCCCTGAGCAAGCCTGAATGTGCAGGAACCACCACCTGCCCCCACCAACCCGGGCCAAATCCACCCTGGGCCTTGGGTCCCCACCCCAAGGCCACGCAGGAAGGGTATTGAGGCATGGGAGTTTGAGCCATGCAGCAGGAAGGGAAGGTCCCTGGCTGAGGAAGCCTGTTAGGAATGGTGGCCATGATGTCTGGCAGGGCTGTGTCCTGCAGGGCGCCCCCCTCCCTGCTCCTCTCTGCTTTACACGCGGAGCAGAGCGCTATGTCCCAATCCCCAGCACAGCTGGGCCCTTTCTGTTAGCCCCTTGCAGCTGAGCCTGGCATACTTAGAGCAAGACATCCATGACAGCATCTAAGGACTCTGGATTTGTAACTTGGCCTTCAAGGGGAAGTTCTTGGTTGAATTTGGGGGCTCCTTGGGGAAGCGGGGGAGGTGAGTTCACAGAGGCTGTCTGGGGGAGGAGGAGAGTTTGCCAGTACTGCTGTTGGTTCTCTGTGGAGATTCTGAAAGGAAAAGAGTGGAAGGGAAGTATTGTAACTGGTGAGTAATTTCCAACATCTCAGTATTAAAGCAAAGGGATAATTTATGGCGCGGAATAAAGCATTCGCATGACATTGATAAAGTGGGGCTTCAGAGGCATTTCCGGCCCGTGCATGTGCTATACAGGCTGCTGTGGCTGGTGCTCGACTGAGGGAGGGAGGGGGCTGAGCTGGCACTGCGGGCGGGTGCAGACTGGGCAGCCCACCTGCCGAGCAGCCTCTAGCTCTTCGGGCAAAGGAACAACCAGCACAGCCAGGGAGACCCAGCAACCCCTGGAGGTCCCCTTGTGCGTCCTTGAATCCGAGGGAAGGCAGAGCATCCAGACAGGAGAAAGCCCAGCTCAGAGGGCACAGGAAGTCAGGGGCAGGTGCCTGGACTTCTGTGAAGAGGTAGGGAGCAGAAGACAGAACCCTGCAAGTGGAGGAGCCCAGGAACCATCATGTGAGTCTCCAGACTGGCACGGGCTGCAGGCAATAGGAGGAGAAACAGCACTCTCCTTGGACAAACCTGGGTTTAAATCCTGGCTTCACCACTTGCTCTGCCTTGTGAACTAACGTCACTGCTTGAGCCTTGGGGCCCTTTTGAAGGACAGAGGTGATGAGGACATGTTCCTCCCACACCCACAACAATAGATGAGTGGGCTTAGACTCCAAAAACCCAGAGCTCAGGGAAGGGGCAGTTTAGCCGAACCTTTTCTGTTCCAGGGATGAGGGGTTAGAGGCCTCATCTGGACAAAGAAGACAACTCCTGGATGAACTGCTTCCTGGCTGTATGACTAAGGACAAGTTACCTGACCTCTCTGAGCTGCTTCCTCTTTAGTAAGGTGTGGCTACATCCTGGGCCACTTCACACAGCCACATGGAGTGCAGCTGTGCAGGACAGGTGGAGCTAGCATGCTGCCCCATGCAGGGCCCAATGGGACTGGTGTCCGCAAGGCTGGTGAGCGGGTTGGCGGGAGCCTCGCTAGCCCACAGTGTGCATCCAACCCTTGCAGGTCCTGGTCTGATGTGACCCAGCCCATGGCCTGGGTGAGCGCTATAGTTATATGAGCTCTAGGTTCCAGAATGAAAAAACCCATGGGGGAGGCAAAGTGGCCTGAGGAGCTGTTGGGCTAGATGTACCTGGGATGTTTCCCACCACCTCCTGTGTCATCCTGCAAAGCCTGCAGGGGAGAAGGCTTGGCTCAGGCCCTGACAGGTGTAGCCAAAGAGGAGCATGGAGGAGAGGGGCTGAGGCTGTGTCCAGTGGGCATCTGTCTCCCCACTGTGCCCTCCCCTAATCCAGCTTCATCTACCCCAATTCCCTCTAGACCCTGTCCCTTCCTCCCTATATGATGAACAGGGCATATGGACCAGGCACCTGCCATGGGGGGAGCTGCCCGCATGCAGAGGATCTGATGCCACTCCACTGTGCTAGAGAGGAGAGGCCTCCACAACTCCAGAAGATACAATCCTCCCACAGTGCTGTTCAGCAGTCTCCAGGGACTCTATCTCCTAAGAAACAAGAGCCAGAATATTCCATCTGGTTGCTCATCACCAGGTCTCTCCTGCCTCTGCCTCTGCACCCAGTATCACCTCCCTGGCTACACCCATTTCTCCCGCTGCCTTTCCTCCTTCCACCTGGTCTAGCACCACAGCCCATCAAGGCCTAGTTGGATGAACCCCAGGTCGGCCGTCAAGACCCACCCTGGCCTTCCCCTGCTCGATCCACTTGTAGAAGTAATACAGATTACTGAGTGCTGGCCCATCGCTCCTATGTGATGCAGATCTTGCTTTGAGAAGCGCTGATCACTACCAGTTTATGCACAACTTGAAAATCAATGCTCAGGGGCTTTTTAAAAACATTTTTAATTAACTATTTGTTTATATTTGAAAGGCAAAAATAGAGATGACGCTTCCATCCACAAGTTCTCATTCCAAATGCCTGCTGAACCCAGAAACCAGGAACTCCATCCAGGGTCTCCCACACAGGTGGCAGGGACCCAAGCAGTTAAGCCATCACCTGCTGCCTCCCAGGGCGCACATTTTCAGACAGTGGAGCTGTGACTTAGACCGAAACATCCTGATGTGGGACATCTTAGTCATGGCCCCCAGCACCTACCTGTGTAGCTTTACTTTTAACACAGTGGTCTTTTTACCACCACCCTGGGGTTGTTTGTAGGTTTTGCCAGAACATCCTTGCTCAGGGTAGAGAGAATTTTTATAAGCCCAAACTCCAAACCTGCTATTTTACCTCCCTGGGAGCTGGAAAAGCCGGGCTGGAAAGAACTGGTGTCTTCCACCACCGTTGCTTAGTCATGGAGCCAATCCACTCTGCATTTGTTCCTGACCGACGACAGGGACAATGGGTGAAGGCTTACTGAGGTAGGTCACCTCAAGACTGAACCACCCTGTCATGTGGGAGGTGGGTGGAGACACAGCCACCATGATGAAGAGACTTAAGGTTCAGAGAAGGTTCGGAACTTGAAACCCACCCCACCCCACACCTCCTCCCTGAGCAGCCACGTGGCTTCGCCGCAGGCATCCAAAGGGTCTGAGGTTGACAGACATGTCCAGGACTGGGAAAGCACGTAGACCGGGTGCACGCACATAGGGGGAGGCACAAGTGCCAGAGGCTGCTGCCCCAAATGCCAGGAATATGCCACGGGGAAGGCGGCCACGGTGGGAGAGAGGATTGAGCCCTGAGTATGTCGGGGCAGCACAGCCCGGAAAGCCAGGATGCTGCTGCGTGAGCCGGCAACAGGAAACAGGAAGCCAGCTGCGGGGCTGGGTGGGTGGGGCTTCGGAAAGGAGCTGGCACCCCAGGCCCCATGATGGGGAGGTGGGGATCGGTGTGGGTGAGCCTATGGGTGGGTGGCAGCATGTAAATGGGAGCAGCTCCCTGCTCACCAGCTCCCAGATATAGCAGGGTGACAAGCGAGGATGCCTGAGGCCGATTCCCGCCTGGTCACAAGGTCACACAGCCCTGCCAGGGCACCCTGCTGCTTTGTAGGTGGTTTCAACTTGGGCCCCTGGGAGGACGGTTACTGCTCTTGCCCACCAGACCCTGGTACGGGGCAGGGAAGGGGTGGGGAGGCTGACCAGCTTCATGGGGCCTGGGCCCCTGTTTACTAGTTGTATGAATTTATTCATTGAAGATTTATACCCACCAACTTCCTCCAGGGTTATTTTTTGTTCAAAAGGAGCACTCTGAGGTCACCTCTTGCTAAGAATAACTCAGAAAGGGAGGGAGGAGGATGGGGCGCTGGGAGCTGGCGCTGAGCCCTGCTGAGCTGAAACCCTTGTTGCTCATCCCCTGTGCCTGAAGTGAGGGGGATCAGGAAGGCAAAATGGCCCAATGCTGTGGAACACAAGACTTGGGGGCTAGGGAGCTCCCCAGGGAGGAGGGCAGGCTCCCCTCTCTGGGCCAGTTCACGCCGCTGCCACATCTTGCCTCGCAGTGGTAAATTTTCCAGCCTGTTGGGGCCTTTGGATTGTGAGCCAAGAGGGAACTCGGATTCCCTTCCTGTTTCCTGCACCAGCCCTGGTAGCTGTGACTTAGCACCCTTAGGTTTGCAGCACAGGATCCCCCAGGTCCAGCCTCAGACAACCTCTCACCCCCACCTGGCTGTCTGTGATGGCTCTTCCTGCAAGAGGGTCTTGGGTGCAGCAGTGCACTCTGCTGCCTGCTCCCTGTCCTCTCCTGTGACCCCTGGAGGCTCCCGACCTCCTCCTGTTCCCATAGATCCACCTGTACCTTCCCAACCCCAGTGCCGGGAGCTGTAGGGTTTCTGTGGAAACTGGGAGAGCCAGAGCAGAACGTTCTGGGGACCTGGGGCAGGAAGGAACCTCCAGGACAAAGTGTGGATTGGACAACAGTACCATAGTGAGGCCTTGCCGAGGGAGGGGTAGAGGAAAGGCATGTGGGTGCCATGATTTGTGGGGTGATTCTAAGGTGGTGGCTGTGAGCAAGTAGATTAAGTCTGCTCACATGTGTGTCCTGGGAAAAAAGAATGTGTTTGTCTGAAAGGTTTTTTTTTTAACATTTATTTATGTGAAAGGCAGAATGACAGAGAAGAGGGGAGGAGAAGGAGAAGGTAGATCTTTCCTCCACTGCTTCTCTCCCCAAATGGGAACAGCAGCTGGGGCTGGGCCTGGCCAAAGGCAGCCGCCTGCAGCCCCATCCAGGTCTGCCA